AACTGCACGGGACCGAAGAGACTTGGTGAAAAATAAAACAGGACCAAGAGAGCAGAGACACAGAGAGAGAGAGAGAGAGAGAGAGAGAGAGAGGAAGAGTAAAACGAACGTACCTGCCGTGACCGATGACGACAAGGACAGTAGCAGCCAGGTCGATGACACCCACACAACGGCGCAGGCAAGCCCACCGTTGCAGAAATCACGGCGCATCCTCAGCGCATCAAGTGATTTTTGAAGCGGCCGTTAGATCTGAAATTTCACGAGGGACGCAGGTTTAATTGACTTTTTCACGAATATCGGAATCGGGAGGGATGCAGTTCGACTGGTTATTACTCGCCGTTATTATTAATATTATTATTGATTATTTGAATGTAACAAATCATTCGGTTGGACATTACGTTTCGTAATTATCAGTTGTTGTTAATATACAATTTACATCGAAACAACGGTAATGTAATTCACGATTGTAAATAGCAACGTGCGATCGCATCGGTGGTTACAGTATAATTATTGATTTTAATGTGCGATCGCGGTGCATTCTTTTTACAGTACAGATGTATAATGAGTTGAGACCAATTTTCGAAAGCCGTCGCTTCTTGCGGTTCACTCGCTTATGAATTTCGCCATAATTAATGTAACATAACCGCATCGGTTATGGTGATCCAACGTACTCGTACTCTCGAGAAGCAAAACATCCTCGATGAATATGTAAACCGTGCTTTTAAATTATTCACTACCCACACTTCGGGACCGCCTGATTTACGATGCTGAAAATGGGTTTTGTATACACTTTTTCTACAAGCTTGACGCTTTTACCGTCGCGTCGAGCATATATAAGTACGGACGACGTTTGGTTGAAATTATTTAAGTTTAAATGATCTATCTTCGTGGTAGCGCATCGAGCGAATTAAATTTTTGATTGAGATCCGTCGGACAAAGTGATTAAATGGAATAATCACTCTGATATACCTTGATTTTTTGAATTTCAATTTAACGAATTAAGTGCTTGGACTTTATTAACTCGCTAAACGTACGAAACGTATAATGATATTTCATTGATCAACGTGTCTCCCATTTCGTCCCATTGATTTATTATTATCGTAATGAGGTCTCCCCCGTAAAACACGAACCATGAGTTCTCTGTCGATTATATTTACAAAATGATCGTTCTATTAGCCCAACATTTCGGTTCGTTCAGTGAAATCATTCGAGATTAACAAGTTTTCGGATAAACATACCGCGGAACATCCTAATTTTAGCGGTCTGGATCGTGGTCCCGTTTCCTGACTGCGAATGATTAAACGAAGTAATTAATCGAGCTCCTCAAATATTTCGAGGAGGAACTCGGGGCGCGCAACGAATCGATATTCGTAGTAACGCATTTCCTGTTTCTGTCCGCCCGGAATTCGCCATTAAAGTTCGCCCGAACCCGTACGCCGCACTTCCCGAAGCAATAAAGTCTAAGATTATGGATCCGTAATGGAAAAAGTTTCCCCTGAAAGCTAAGAAGCCGTCCGCTCGAAAGCGGGAAACCAGACAGCTTTTCATTTCGCGTCGATATGGATCGTTCCGGCTGAAAAACAGTACGTGGACCGAATCGAACGTTCTTGTCGATCTTTTCCGTCGATCGGAGATTGCGAAGAGTTTCATCTCACTTCGCTCGTATTACGAAATTACCAGAAACGTTCGTCTATATAACATCCATCTCGACCTGCTTCTAATTAGCGTTCCATCGATTCGGTTGTACATTCGTGAAGATCGAATCAAAGAAATCGGTTTAGTAAAGCTAACAAATTTTTGCATTGGTTTACAATTTCACCGTAAAATCAACAAGTGACTCGAACTTCTTGTACACTGCAACATTAACTACCAAACGCACTGTTTTAACTTCACAAATAACCGGAGTCGGTTGCCTTGCCGATTTGTCGGGAATGTTGACTCTGCAGCGAGTGAAAAAAGTTAATGGAGGGAAAAAGTTTCGGGACCGGGAAACCTCAAGAACATCAGCATCTCGTTTAATTCCCGGAGTCGTTTCCTCGGGGGAAGTCAACATTCGCGACACTGCGTCCGGATAAATAACTTTAATTACACGTGTTGTGATAACTACGATAAAAAGATCAAAATTCGAACGCGAGGTCCGTTAACGCTAGATTCACGGACGTTTGTTCTACACTTTATTCTATTGTTCTTCGAAAACTAAGCGTTATATAATTCGAGAAAATTCTAGCTTCAAAACTGGAGCATTGCAATGCGTATTCGCTTGAATCAAAATCGACTCTACTACTAAATAATGTTTAAAAAGTTCAATATCCGTCAAATTGACGGGTTCCGTAAATCTGGCGTTAAACTTGAAAACACAGTTGATTTTAAACGATCTCGTCGAAAAGGATACCTCCAAATTAACATAGCAGACACCGTTACCTAATGAACGAAACTTGCATATTCTAGTTACTGCGAACTAATTTCAGGATATCTCTATTAATATGGAAATTAATTGAGTTAACGACGGGAATGCCAATATAGAGGTTCGATGAATATTATATGACACTTGCATGAATCAAAGGTACTTTATATTTATTAATAGGATCGATGATCTATTAGCATCCGAATCGGTGAAGGTACTCAATCAATTTTCTGCAACAACCGCATAAACGGTCGCGGGAATCCAGGAATAGTTCTGCGTTTCGTCTAGATGGTCGGACACGGAAGATCGAGCCAGACGGAGTCTCGGGGTATCAATTACCGGGTCTACGGTAGGAATTAGATATTTCGTAGTAATGGCGGTGTAACGGCCGTGAATGTAATCTTAACGCGATTATCGGTGTAATTACCATGAGGCCCGAGCGGCCGGGGCCGCGTCACAGTCTTTCCCGATGCATTATTCATACGGCAGGCTGCACCCTAAATTCAAAGGCTTCCCAAAGGATGTAACCGTCGGTAATTTCGTCGGCGAACAGCTTCTCGTCCCGTCTCTCCTGCGAGTATGCCGAAATACAGGGTGCAACATAATACACGGGACTTACCTCGGCGCAAAAGAAAAAGGAAAGAATCGAGCATCGCCGCGTAAACGTACGAGACGGTTGGAAGTTTAATCGTTTCTTGGAGCTCTGGGCGATCTAATTATTTTTCGCGTGTTTTTATTGCGCAGCGTATTTGAGGGATGATTGTTTTATTTGAGAAGGGTATGAGAGTCAAATATTAAAAATATATGAATTCATTTTACCTCAACACACTTGTTAACGCTAGAACTACCGAGAATTTGATACGATTGAAATGCGATCGCTATGAATATTGTAATAATAGATTATTTTAGAACATTCATTACAGTATTCAAGCGAAACTATTTTCAAAATCATTTCGAATATTCAGTGCTTCGAGGATATCAATAATTGAAACGGCAGTTCTAGTGTTAAAATTAATATTTTGCGTATCGAATTACTGGATTTGCCAAGCTTTCTTTCGTTATGGACTTTATTGAATAATTTTAGTATTATGTTATATTATTAACAGTGAAGATCACAGTGATATGCTATTTTATTTTACTGATCCACAGATCATGTCTCTGCTAACGGTGCAACTAACAGACGTGTTGCAATAATAACATTTAGTCGAGCAGACGTTAGCGCGACAGTAATTCGCCGAGACATTTTTCATTCCTTTGAGCAGACCATATTTCTCCGTGTCACTCTGCGTTAAATTTTAAATCACTCATCAACGAGTCCATTAGCTCAGACGGGAGGCAACCGAGAGAAGGAAAAAGTCGGTCGCAGAATTGAATTTTCCGAAGGTCACACTTCAAAAGTGCGTCAGACTTTCCCGTCGCGTTTGATCCGCGTTCCATGGCGCACCCTGTACAATTCGCACCCTCCCGTGCACTTTTTCCATTGTCCTCCGCACACACGCGGCCCGCATTATGCTCGCGAGCGAAACAATTGCTGCGTAATATTCGCGGCGGCGGAGGACGGTACGCATTTCGGCGCGAAATTGAATTTCCATGAAAATTTTTAACTCCTCCGTGACTTCATTAAACGCGGCCCACGCGCCGCCGTGTCGCGCCGCGAGATTAAAGCAAAACAGAGGCATGTCCGATTTAATTAGAAGACGGGGACGCGGGGTTTTTTCTCGTATTGATTCCGATTTTATCAATGAAACTCGTTACCGGGAATTACAGGTTGCGACACGATTCATTTATCTCGCATTGAATTCCGGGACGGAACGACCGACGCATTGTATAATTGCACGGTAATGGCAAATTGGTTTTCTGAAAATAATCTGTTCATTACTGCTCGCATCCACGGAACGTTGAAACTTAAATCATTCGACCTGGATTTCCGCAATTTCCGTGCTAAAAGAATTATTTTTAAAATTCTGGACAATTTTGGTTCGGTGATTATTAGGACTGCTCGCTTTTTGTCAGCTCGGCGTTCATTACTGTTCGGTTACGGAGAATGTCTTCTCGACGAGGATCCTTTGAGCTACATTCCGGACCGCAGGCAACATTTTTATCTCGAGCATTTATCTTCCGCAGATCCCCGACCGAAGGTGCACGAAGTTTAATCACAACTTCAATTACCAACTTTAATTTAAAACACCGAAGTTCGTCAAATTTGATTCCTATCCTCGCTTTCCAGTGTGACACACTTTTACACTAATACTGTTATGGTAGTCACCGGTGCTGTTAGAAAGTTCACCTTCCGCAGAACTCGAACTTCGGTAAACATTCTTACAAATCTAATTGCCAGTGGAATAATACTTCTCCCGCTGGAGGGAACCGAAAATAAATGACAAGCATTTCATCTTTCGAAGCTCAATTAACCCTCTGTGGGCCGAACTTTTGTTCGTGATTGTAACAAAATCTGTGCGGTACAAAATTAATAAATATCCACATATGAATACGAAACTTTTATGCCTGAGCGTAAAAAAGTTGAAGTTAACCTAAATAGTATTACATTATTTTATTCGCCACTTCCAGTGCAAAATGAAATAATCCAACAAGACGCCAATATACTGATAGGTGACTTCAAAGTTGCACGAGGGTTAAAAGAAAGACGTCTGCGTGTTCTAAAAATGGCGAGCGAAGAATACACATTCATATTTAACGCGTCGATAAAGATTCATCGATCGTTCCTAGTCAGCCAATTATCGCGAGGGAGAACAGCGAGCTACGAGATAAATCCAAATTTGTCCCTTCCAGACGAGAGGAAAGCCGTGTCTGCGATTATTCTGCCTTTTTCCATCGGGTTCTCGAT